TCTAATTCTTGGTTTGAAATTCAGACTAAGACCTTTACTAACTTTTTCTCTGTTCTCTTGTTTGCGTGTGTTTCAGGTGTATGTCAAACATATCCACAAGAAGCAACTGCACCGATCTTGTTTCTTTGTCAAACACCGAATTAGCAAAAGTCGAGCGAGAAAATAGACGTCAAGGCCTATTCAAGCCAACATGGGCGATCAAGGCAACAATGACAACATGCTGCAACAGCTTCGACAGCAATTGGAGCAGCTGCAAAAGGCGCAGCAAGACAAGGCGCAGCAAGACAAGGCGCAGCCATAACCTCCTATTGGAGACAAGGACAATCCGCATGCTTACTACCAAAACAGAGCTGCGATTGCTCCTCCAACCATTCAGAGGCAAGACTTTGAGATCAAACCTCAGCTGATCTCATTGGTGAAGCAGCATCTTTTTCATGGGCTTCCTGCTGAGATTCCGATGGGCCACATCGAGAATTTTGAGGAGATTTGCAGCACGACTGGATCAAATGGGATACCAGGCGATTTTCTGAAGTGCAAGCTTTTTCCGTTCTCATTTGCGGAAAAGGCTTTGCGCTGGTTGAAGTCATTACCAGCTGGGTCATTGACTACATGGGAAGAATGCAGATCAGCACTTTTGGACCACTTCTACACTAAGTCTAAAACTGCAGCTCTGAGGAATAAGATCTCTTCGTTCAGACAGCAACCTGGTGAAGCTTTCTGCGAAGCTTGGGAAAGGTACAAGGAGTACCAAAGAGAGTGCCCTCACTATGGGTTCTCTGATGAGCAGATTCTTTCAACCTTTTATAATTGTGTCAACTGGGATTACAGGAATGCGTTGAATGCAGCCAGAAATGGCGATTTCATGACTAAGTCCAAAGCAGGTGCTTATGAGTTGCATGAGAACTTAGCTGCAAGCTCCAGCAACAAATCCCAAGAGTATGACAGGTCTAGCAAAGCAGTTGAGCAAGATCGATGAGCTTACAGCAAAGGTGAATCTGCTGTTGAAAGAGAACCTGAAATCTGTGCATTTTGCTGATGAGATTCGTAATACTCCTCTTGCTCAAGAGTTTGTAGAAGCAGAGGATGATGATCAGATGGAGGTGAACTTTTTGAATGGACAAGGGTATGTGCAGAATCGCAGCTTCAACAACTTCAGGAACCACCCGAAATTTGTCCTACAGGAGCAACAATGTTGAGAACCCTCAGGATCAGGTCTATCAGCAGCAAGGAGTGCAGAATCAGTCATGATTTCAGAAGAACTTCTCCAGCAACTTCCAAGGAAAACAGTTCATCACCAATCAGAATCGGTTTCAAGGTGGAAATCAGCAGAAGTTGCCTTTCACAAGTCTGCAGCCTTCTTCAAGTTCCTCAAATAACTTGCAAGATGAGCTGAAAAGCTTGATGCAACAGCTGCTGGTTAATCAGCAAAAGTCTTCCATGGAGATTAATGCCAAAGTGGACACTATGTACAATGATTTGAATGGCAAGTATGAAACAGTGTGGACTCATGTAAAGAAGCTGGATGTTCAGGTATCTCAAACTACAGAAGCTGTGAAGAGATCACCTGGAACTCTCCCTGGAAAAGGTGAAAACCCCAGGAATGGGTTTGTGAATGCTATTGAGCTGAGAAGTGGGAAGACTCTGCATGCTGCACTAACAAGTTTTGTCTCAAAAAAGAGGAAGGAAAAGGACGTGAAGCACCTGCTCCAAGAAGAGGAACCAACTCATGACATAAAAAAGACGATGGAGAATTCTTCCCCAACCGGAGCACATGCTCCAAAATCGGGAGAACCTGCTCCAGACGAAGATTTGACGATGGAGCACCCTAAGCCAGCGACGGAGCACCTGCTCCAGCCACCTGCTCCAGCAAACATTCCTGCAAGGGTTTACACGCCTAAGGTACCTTATCCAGCTCCACCTAAAAAGTCCTGCAAGGACTTAGAAGAGGCAAAGTGCAAGGAGATGGTGAAGAATTTGACTGTGAAACTCCCTCTAGATGATGCTGTTCAGATGATACCAGCCCTTAAAAGATACATGAAGGGGTTAGTGTCTGGGAAAGCTGTTGAGGAAGAGAATGTCATGATGGTTTCGAAGGAGTGCAGTGTTGTGCTTCAGAACAAAGTGCTGAAGAAGAGAAGTGATCCAGGAAGGTTTGTTCTCTCAGTCAGGATTGGGAATGTGCTGTTTGCAAGGTCTCTCTGCGATCTGGGTTCAAGTGTGAATCTGATGCCTTATTCTGTAGCCAAGCGATTGGGTTACACCAGATTCAAACCGACAAAAATCTCGATGGTGTTCGCTGATAGATCAACCAAATTTCCTGTTGGTATACTTGAGGATTTGCATGTTCAGATAGGCGATACACTCATTCCAGCAGCTTTTGTGGTTCTGGAGGTTAATGAAGAACCCAAGGATCCTTTGATATTGGGACGATCTTTCTTATGCACAGCTGGTGCAATCATAGATGTGAAAGGAGGTGTTATAGATCTCCAGCTGGGAGATATGGTGGTGCGATTTGAGATGAATAAACTTCTCAAGAAACCAATGCTGGACGGACAGACATTTGTCATAGATGATGGTTCAGACATTGTTGAAGAGGTTTCTGAAGAGGTTTTGGCCATTGATCCTTTGGAAGTTGTACTCACAAAATCCGAAGGAGAATATGGGTATTTGAGTGAAGAAGCTGATGGGTTTGCAAGGATGCTGAATGCAAGCACGAGGATGCAAAGGCTGGTGGCGTACATGAGCTTAGAAGGCAAGGAGATCTCAACTACAGAAAAAGCCGATGGAGCACCTGCTCCGAATCCTGGAGCACCTGCTCCCGATGGTTTGATTGATGGACCTTGGAGCGAATTGAGAGCTCCAAAGCTTGAGCTCAAACCCCTTCTTGTGGGGCTCAGGTACGCGTTTCTGGGACCCAATTCGACATACCATGTGATAGTGAACTCTGAATTGAACAATGTAGAGATTTCCTTGCTTTTTTGTGAACTTAGAAAGTATAGGAAAGCTCTAGGATAATCACTAGATGACATTCCAGGGATTTCTCCAGATCTTTGCATGCATAGAATACATCTAGAAGATGAATCGATGACTTTTGTAGAACATCAGAGGAGGTTAAACCCGAATCTACAAGATGCTGTTAAGAAAGAGATAATGAAACTTCTAGAAGCTGGTGTGATCTATGCGATTTCAGATAGTAATTGGGTTAGTCCGGTTCATGTAGTTCCTAAGAAAGGTGGCATCACTGTGATAAAAAATGATAGGAATGAATTGATACCAACAAGAACTGTTACTGGGCATCGAATGTGCATATATTACAGAAAATTGAATGCTGTAACTCAAAGATCATTTTCTTTTACCATTTATCGATCAGATGCTTGAAAGTTTGGCTAACCACCCTTACTACTGCTTTTTAGATGGCTATTCAGGTTTCTTTCAGATCCCAATCCATCCAGGCGGCCAGGAGAAGACAAAATTCACATGCCCTTATGGCATTTTGGCTTGTGTAATGCTCTGGCAACATTCTAACGCTGCATGATGTCGATTTTTACTAACCTGATTGAAGACATAATGGAAGTTTTCATGGACAATTTTTCTGTCTATGGAAGCTCTTTTTCTATCTGTTTGTCTAATTTGTGCAGAGTCTTGCAGCGGTGTGAGGAGAAGTATCTGGTGCTTAACTGGGAGAAATGCCACTTCATGGTGAGAGATGGGATCATGTTGGGACACAAAATCTCAGAGAAAGGGATCGAAGTGGACAGGGCAAAGATCAAGGGGATGATGAGTTTGCAGCCACCAACAACAGTCAAAGGCGTTCGCAGTTTTCTGGGTAATGCTGGTTTTTACAGACGCTTCATCAAAGACTTCTCAAGGATAGACCTCTGACGCAGTTGCTGTGCAAGGATGTGAAATTCGAGTTTGATGATGCATGTTTGGAGGCATTTCACACGATAAAAGGAGCTTTGGTCAGTGCTCCTATTGTCCAGCCACCAGATTGGGAACTGCCTTTTGAGGTCATGACCAATGCTAGTGATTATGCAGTGGGAGCAGTGCTGGGACAGAGGAAAGAAAAAAGGCTCCATGTCATCTATTATGCCAGCCGAACACTCAACAAATCTCCATGCAGATATGCCACAACTGAAAAGGAGCTTCTTGCAGTGGTTTATGCCTTTGAGAAGTTCAGTTCTTACCTTGTTGGGTCGAAAGTTGTTGTTCACACAGACCATGCAGCGCTGAAATACCTGTTGACGAAGAAGGATGCCAAGCCAATGCTCCTTAGATGGATCCTCTTGCTGCAGGAGTTTGATTTGGAGATTAAAGACAAAAAGGGATGAATAATGGTGTTGCAGACCACTTGCCGAGGCTGAAGATTGATGATGACATTACATTAGATGACAGCCTTCTTGATGAACAAGTTTACGCCATAGATGTTTCTGGGTTCGATGAGCACCTGCTCCAACCTGGAGCACCTGCTCTGACGATTTTTTGCAACTCTGTTGACGTAGATCGGCATTCTGGTTTCCCATGGTTTGGAGAGATTGCAAATTATCTTGCTGCAGAGCAGGAACCTGCAAATTTCGTGGGAAACAAGAAGAAGAAGTTTCTGAAGGATGTAAGGCACTACTTTTGGGACGAGCCTTACTTATACAGGCATTGCTCTGATGGGATTTTCAGGAGATGTGTAGCTGATGAGGAGATACCTGGGGTCTTGTTTCATTGCCATGGTTCACCTTATGCTGGTCACTTTGCCACTATTAAAACAGTGTCAAAGATTCTGCAAGCTGGGTATTGGTGGCCTACTATGTTCCGAGATGCGCAGAGATTCATATCCAGGTGTGAGTCAAGTCAGAGACAAGGAAACATTAGCAGGAGGAATGAGATGCCTCAAAATTTCATCTTGGAAGTGGAGATTTTCGATGTGTGGGGTATAGACTTCATGGGGCCATTTACATCATCTTATGGGAATGACTATATTCTGGTGGCAGTTGACTATGTGTCAAAGTGGGTGGAAGCTCTGCCTAGTCCCACAAATGACGCAAATGTGGTTTTAAAGATGTTCAAATATGTCATTTTTCCCAGATTTGGTGTGCCCCAAGTGGTGATTAGCGATGAAGGCTCTCACTTCATCAACAAAGTCTTTGAAAAATTGTTGAAGAAGAATGGTGTAAAGCATAAGGTGGAAACCCCATACCATCCTTAGACGAGTGGGCAAGTTGAGGTTTCCAACAGAGAGATCAAGAACATTCTGCAGAAGACTATGAGCACCACAAGGAAGGATTGGGCAGTGAAGCTTGATGATGCTCTTTGGGCATACAGAACAGCTTACAAAACACCTTTGGGAACTACACCATTCCACTTGGTGTATGGAAAAGCATGTCATCTTCCAGTGGAACTTGAGTACAAAGCTGCTTGGGCAGTGAAGCTGCTGAATTTTGATGCTAGGAGTGCTCAGGAGAGGAGAGTGATGTAGTTGCATGAGCTGGAGGAAATTAGGCACCTGGCTTATAAAAACTCAAAGATTTACAAAGAGAGGACAAAAGCTTTCCATGACAAGAGGATCCTCAACAGAAACTTTGCACCAAACGATTAGGTATTGCTCTTTAACTCTAGATTGAAATTGTTTCCAGGGAAGCTGCGATCAAGATGGTCTGCACCATTCACCATCAAGGAGGTTCGACCATATGGAGCTGTAGTGTTGCTAGACACTATAGGAGGCGAGTTTGTTGTCAATGGACAGAGGTTGAAGCCATACCTTGCTGGTCTAAATATCGCAGAGGGTGAATCAGTCACCTTAAGCGATCCTCCTCAAGCCTAAATGGCTTTCCAAGTAAAGCTAATGACTTAAAACAAGCGTTTGGTGGGAGGCAACCCACCGGTAAGAGTCTCTAACTTTGTGTTTTTCTTAGCTACTAACTTTGGTTTTAGGTTCTTTGTGTTCGAAAAAAAAAACAGGTAAAAGTTGTTCAACGTGGAAGAAAAGATTTGAGGAAGAAGAAGGAAGAGCACCCAACCGGAGCACCTGCTCCATCTGCTGGGTTGGTTTCTCAAAGCGTAAAAACTGACGAAGGAGCACCCCCATCCCTAGTCGGAGCACCTGCTCCACAGGGTGCTCACCACGTAAAAAGTGACGAAGGAGCAACCAGAGGGAGACGGGAGCACCTGCTCTGCTGAGTGCTCCAGACGAACAAAAGACGAGGGAGCACCCAACTCTGTTTCGGAGCACCTGCTCCGCCAGGGTGCTCTACATGCGCGGGGACAGTGTGAAGTAAGTCCGGGGGAGGGTCGTGTCTCTTGTACTTCTTTCTTTTGCTTTCTTTCTTTCAGTATTTTCTTTGAGTCAGTTTTTAGTTTGTTTCTTTGAGTCATTTTGTTTCTTTGAGTCAGTTGGTTATATGAGTCAAGTCAAAGCTTGTGGGAACTAGGACCAAATCTGTGATGAGTTTAGACCATTTGTGAAACCATGTTCTTTTTAGTGACCATTGCTGCAGACTCAGTCTAGATCCGACTAATGGAAAATCCAAGAGCTGACCAGCGGACTAGAGGCATCCATGTTTCTGACAAAAGTCATTGACCTAAGCTAATTTCTGAGCTCTTCTTTTTACCTCATTGATGTGACTGGTGTTCACAGGGCTTGACTCCTCATTCATACCTGACAAACAAGGACCTGTGTGATAAAAAGATTGGTACTCCTCTCCCTTATTCTAAGTGTTAACTAAAGCTGAAAAGATGAGATGATTTTCTTTCAAAGTAAAAAGGTAGGAAAATTTCCTGTGACTTCACTGTTTTACTTTAGAGAGAAATGATCACACAAGGATTGGAAGTGAGGGGTAGGAAAGTTTCCCGTGACCCCATTATTCACCTACAACCTTGATAATAAAAAAAAGAAAAAAAAAAACTCCTGCAAATGAATAAGTTCGGGGGAGAGGAAGAATGCCTTTGTGTGTTTTGGTCAGTTTGTCATTGTATAGTATAGGAATGAGTCTAGAAGGTACTTGGCATTGGTTTCATCAGTGAGACCCAGCGATGATGGGATATGGATAATGTTGTAAAATTATGGATCTAATCTGGGAAGCTGCAATATCTACGGAGAAGTACATGGAGGTTAGATTTGGATTGATGTTGCAACAGGTCATTCGCATGCTATGGTCAAATTTACGGTCTTCTGAGTTTTTACGAGTTCCCACCATAGTCCAATCATTTTTCTGGAACTAGATTTTAGTTTGTTTGAGGATAAACAAAGGTTTAAGTCTGGGGGAGTTGATAAGTGGCTATTTTGACTCATTCTAATCTGTGTTTACTAATCTTTTTAGGAGTCTTTGGAGTCTTTTTCAGGTTGTTTCATGTGACTAGGAGGCTTTAGCTGAGGATTGGATGGTCTGAAAGACTTTGGATCAAAAAGAGATGAAGCTGAGCAAAAAGGAGCAAATTTCATACGTAATTGAAGAAGTCTTCCGCGGAGCACCTGCTCCCGATTTCGACCTTTTGTGGAGCACCTGCTCCAACCGAGAGAAAAATAAGGAAAACGATTTTTACCTAATTCTGGGACCAGAAAGAGAATAAAAAGTCCAGAGCCGCCTCAGAAACAGACCCACGTTTTACAGAACTTTTTCTACGCTTTCTTTTTACAATATTTTTGAACCAGAGAGTTTTTACTTGTAAGCTTTTGGGAGAAGAAATCTGCTACACTTTGAGAAGAATTCTGAACCCTATTATCTCTTCTGCGATTTATTTCATGAATTCCTTTTCATCTGTTGCTGTGTTTCTTTTCTCCATATCTGAGTAGATCTCTTAGTTAGATTAAGGTTTTCAAAGGATTTCATGAGTTAGAGAGTTAGATGCAAATAGGGCTAAAAATCAATTGTCTTCACCTCTGTTGAATTTAATGCTTAGGTTGAACTGATCACTCGATTTATGATTTTAGGTTAATCTATTCATCAAAAATGTAATAGGTTGCTAGAATTAACATTGGTGAGCGATTTGTCCGTAGCCAACGACATTTGAAGTTAAGGCAAATCGTGAACAGATCAAACCAGATTGTTAATGCTTGTCTGCAATTTTCTAGGTTCAAACGACAGTTTAGAATTTAGGTTGTTAGATAAAGTTACCGATGCCACGACAGTGGATCGATATGCATTTCTGTTTGAGTTCAAAACTTGTGTTTAACCGTGCTTTGAATAGTCATCTGATTGTTATCTCTGAAATTCCTACGAATTACTTTGATCTAGTGTCTGTCTAAATTTGAATTTAAATCGTTGTTTGCCGTTTTGTTTACTTCTTTAGTTTTCGCATCAAATCATCTTTGCCTTAGCTTTAATTCAATTCTCGCAAAGTCATAGAGTAGCACTAGTCCTCTGGATTTCGAATCCTTTATATTACAACTACATCACTGTTCTATTGCAGTAGAAACTATGAGATACATCCAGTGTGAATCATAGCCGCATAAGTAGGCAAACATTTTTATATTATTATTATATATTTCTTTAAAAAATCCATTTAAATTTCCAGTAATGGACAGTCTAATATATTGGATTTTTAAATGCTGTCTTTAAACTCAAAAAAACTATATAATAAAACTTAAAAGATCCAAATGAGTCTTTGGGATGCTGATGCTCTTAGGTTTAAGGTTGGATGCAGAAAAAAAAAGGTTCTACACTATTTAGACATAAAAGTGTTAATAAAATATTTTTAAGAACTCCATAATGGAATTCAGGATTGGAGATGCCTTTAGTTCCCTACCAAATCATTATTTTTTACTCTTTTCTTCTCTCCTCTGTTCAGTCTGTTGTATCTGTTGTTTGTGTTGTGGCCCAAAATGAAAAAAGAGAAGCTCATCTGAAATATTGAATTCGTAATCAATAATAGTCAAGTAATTCATTTAACGAATTTTTTTAATTGGTTTAAAATGTGGTATCATTTCGATTGGTCAAGTAGACGCAAAAATGTTTACCATGAAAATGTACGCGAATTTACTCTATGGTCTTTTTCCAAATATAACCTAATCTTGCATCTTCTTGATTTTGTCTTTTAATGTTTTTTTTCTCTGAAATAACAATATCTGTGGTAAAAGTTTGGCATTATTTGAAAAAATCTAAAAAATTAAAGAAAAAAGATTTATGTTTTTATATATTTATTTATAAACCTTCTCTGTATAAAATATATGGGAAATTAAATTTATATATGCCAATAACAAGTACAAGTTATAACCAATTTAACCTCCTTAGATTTTCTCATCTAAGGATTCTTCCACGTGTCCTCCATAGCAAAAAAAAAAAAAAAACTAGAAAACTATGAAAATGAATGATCCCTGTCGTAGCTTACAAGAACTGTCTATATATATAAAAACACAAAGGTCTAACCTAAAACCATCATCATCCATAAATATTTATTAATTACATAGTTTACGAAAAGACTTTGAAGCCTTGTGACCCAAATGGCTCGGTTATCAACTACAACTACTGTTTCGATAACTACACTCGTAATACTGTTATGCTTGTTTTTAGCCGGCCATTTGACGCATGCCCGAAACCTTGAAGATAAAAAGATGAAAATATTTTCTGCTAAAAATACTTTTGGTATGTATATAAATTTTATTTTAAGTTTCCTCAAAGTGGAAGTATTATACACAATAATGATTAACAATTAATAGATAACAAAAAATGGATCATATACGTGCATTCATAATGAATTTCTTATTATCTGTGAAAAATATCAAAGATTTTTTTTTTTTTTTTTTAAATACCCATGAAAAAAAAATTAAAATTATATATAAACGTATCACAAAATTTCTTATCATCTGTTTGTATTCAGATTACTTTTTAATTTTTAACTAAATATATTTCTATTATTTCTAATAAATTGGTTATTTTTTCTTCTTTAAAACAAATTTATTTTTGTTAAGAGATTTGACTTTTATTTTCTAAATCATTTTCTTATGGTCATAGAGAAACGAATTAAAAGGACTTTATCACTCAGTTTGTTATGCTTATATAAATTTTAAAACATTAGAAATCTCAATATGAATTTTTTTCAAGTATAAATAAAGTCACTCTAAAGGTTAAAAAAAAAAAAACAAAAACTCACTCTAGAAATGTTATGTTGATGCACTCTATAAATTTACCGTTATGATTTTGTATAATTTACCGCATCAGCATAATAGTAAGAAAAGAATTATGTAAATTTGGTCCAATACTTAGTTTTTTTTCAGATCATCATGAAAAATACTTTTCCTCAGTATAGACAGACTATAGAGTGTATTTCCTTTGTTATTATTTTATTTTCCTTTTTCTGTCTTATTTCCTCAACCTTTTTCTCTTAGTTGTATAATTAATATTTTGTCGGTTGCTGAGATATTTTCCACAGCTTCCGAGAAAAGAAAGAGCATATCGTCTCTGAAGCTAGAACCAACAATCCGAGAAGGAAAAATAATGGCGGATCAGCTAACGGACGAGCAGATCTCTGAGTTCAAGGAAGCTTTTAGCCTCTTCGACAAGGACGGAGATGGTTAGTCCTCAATCTCATCTTCCTCTTTTTTCTAATTTCTCTGATCGTAGTTTAAACCATTTGGATCTCGCTTTTCCGATTTCGTCTCCGATCGATGCTTTTATCCGCCACAGATTCGTAAAAATGGTTGAATCTAATACGCTTTAGATTTGGTGATACCATGTTTAGCCTCTGGATTTGCTGGTTCCGATCTCTGATTCGTGTGTTTTGGTATTGAGTGATTGAATCGATTGGATAAGTCTCTTTTGATTTCGTCTCTGTTCCTTTCTCTTAGCGTAGATTTGATTGATATTCACTTGTTATAGCTTTGATTTGTCAACCGCACGTTTACGTGACTGTTCAAGAGAGAATCGAATCGAATCAACTTAGTTGTATCTTCGGTGACTGTTTGATCACATGGTATTTCTTCGAAGCTGTTTTATATTGATTGAGGGTTCTCGTCCTTGTATATATCTGAGTTCTCTTTGGGTTCTTACTTTAGAAGAAGAATAGTGAAAACTAGGTCAGAGACTACAATTCAACAATTGCTTGTAAACCAAATTCACTGTGGTCTATGTTTGTATTTTGCATCTTGATCACATCAATGCTACTAGTTGTGTGCAGAAGTCATGTTTCATGCTTCTCAAGTCTCAAAATGTTATTGTTTCTCACTTTGAGGAAGTATGTTGCATAGCTTTACCGCAGAAATTTTCATCCTCCTAAAGAAGCAAACAATCATGTATGTTTTAGCACCCTAGAATGCTTTTTCCATTTTGAAAGATTATAGAATCAAGTGTTTGTTGTTGGCATTTGTAGCTCATTAAGATTTGTTTGACACACATTTATCTTAAGACCTGATTTCATTCAAGTTTCTCTACTCGTTATTGTTTTTGGTGTGATAAATTCACAGAAAATGTTTAGTCTCCTAAAAGAAGCAAACAATGATCTGTGTTTTTGCTGGCATTTGTAGCTGAAAAGGATTCGTTCGAAACATTTATCACAAGACATTTTTTCATATGTATATTCAGTCTTGATTCTGTCTGCTTACTCTCTAATATTATTTTTTTTTACTGATTTCAAAAGGTTGCATCACTACCAAGGAGCTGGGAACAGTGATGCGATCTCTAGGACAGAACCCAACAGAAGCTGAGCTCCAAGACATGATCAACGAGGTGGACGCAGATGGCAACGGAACAATCGACTTCCCTGAGTTCCTAAACCTAATGGCTAAAAAAATGAAGGACACAGACTCAGAGGAAGAGCTCAAAGAAGCCTTCAGGGTGTTCGACAAAGACCAGAACGGTTTCATATCCGCTGCAGAGCTACGCCATGTCATGACGAATCTTGGAGAGAAACTGACCGATGAAGAAGTTGAGGAAATGATCCGTGAAGCTGATGTTGATGGAGATGGTCAGATAAACTACGAGGAGTTTGTCAAGATTATGATGGCTAAGTGATGTAAGAAAGTAAGGTGGTGATGACCTTTTACTATCTACCAAAAAAAAAAAGATTCGATCTGTGATTGAGTTTAGTAGTTGTTAAGGTTTAATAGACTGAATTTGCGACAATATCTTTTTACTTTGTGGGTTTTTATTTGTTTGCATGTTGTAGATTTTGGTAACTAGGGTGGTTGCAAAAACAAATTGATATCTCGTGGCCTTGCCTTCTGCGTATTAATGGGTATCAAAGTGATGGACAGATAACTTTCTGATAGTGCAGAAACTCACCACTGCTAAATTTAATTTCTGGTGGAGATTGTAGGAAAATCATAGACACTAGAAAGCCTGGAATACACAATGTGCACTCTTGAAAGGTGCAAATGGTTGTCATCAGAGGAATTTAGTGAAATCAAAGGGTCTAAATGGTAGTCACTAGTAGAACTAGTGGGAAAAATATAAGCAGAAATAAGAAAAATTCCGCCAATCAATTTCACTAATTCTCCTGCAAAACAGTAAATTTCTCTAAAACATGTTCATTCTTTCAAAAAAAAAAAATAGTGGAATTAGTTGAGTTCTTTATCAACATTTTCAACTTAAATGGGGAAACTTAAGAGAAATGCTTAATTAAATCAACTTTCTTCAACGTAAATGATAAAAAATCTACGAGGAATGTTTAATTCAATGTTTAATTCCGTGAATTTTTGTTCCTCTAAATATACAACCATTTGCACCCAAAATAAAAAGAATAGAGATAAGTGGAATAGAGATGTAGAGGAACAATTTTGTTCCTATGTCAAATGGTAATATTTTAGAATATTTTAGAAAATATCAAATTCCACCATTTTGTATTCCTCTAATTGTGCAACCATTTACGTTCAATTAAGCATTGTTAGCAAAATAGCTGCAGAGACTAACACATACACCAAAGTCTTTGGTAGGGGCGTGTACTCAAAATGTGCTATTTAAAAGATTTATTGGGTGCATAGAAAGCTAGGACTTCGTCGTATTATAGATGGAGAAATATTTGGTCGGCAAATATTCTACTCGATATAAAGGCCAGTACAGTATTTTGTGATATACAATATATCCGTTTAGATTAGAATGATCTCTAGGTTACATATACAAAATCAAGGGCAAGGCGAGTAAGCTCAAAAAGGACATGTTGATCGACTTAGTCAACAAAAAATGGAATATGTATAACAATCTGACCTCTGGTTGTTATTAAAATTTCGATTTATTTAAATTAGACCATTTTTTTTAATTAAACTTATTTTTAATTCCTTTTTATCTTCTGCGAATCTATTAAGCCCAGTTCAAACTAAATTAACCTAAACTAGGTGAATACCCGCACGTTACGTGCAGATTTTTTTTTTCAATTTTTTATCAAATTTTTTTTTATATAATTGTATAAAAATTAATATAGTCATCACTTGTTACTTACTTATTTGTTAATACTTTATTCTAAAAATTTTAAAATATTAATTTCAAATACATATTAAATATTATTTAATAATTTAAAGTTATATTAAAATTAATAAGTATCATTCAATATTTTTAATTAGTTATAACATAATTTTTTGTTTAACATTTACACAAATATTAATTAATAATTAATTAGTAAAAAATAAAAT